AGGGCACACCAGACCTCGGGAGGCAAGAAGTTCCATAGGGCGGGAGCCACAGCAGAAAAGGCCCTCTGCCTAGTCCCCACCAATCGGAATTCCTTGACTGGTGGGGTCTGCAACCTGCCCCTTCTGCTGGACCAAGTGGGGCGGGCTGAAACAACCAGGGCGAGATGGTTCCTCAGATAACCTGGTCCTGTGCCATGAAGGGCTTTAAAGGTGATGACCAACACCTTGAATTGGACCCAGAAACAACCTGGCAACCAATGCAGCTCATGCAACAGCGGTGTTATACGTGCCCTTCTAGGGGCATTGAGAACTGTCCGCGGCGCTGCATTCTGCACCAGCTGTAGCTTCCGGATACTCTTCAAGGGTAGCCCCATGTAGCGTTGTAGTAGTCCAACCTGGAGGTGACCAGGGCATGGGTGACCATGCGGAGGGTCTCCTGATCCAGGAAGGGGCGTAACTGCTGCACAACATGAAGTCGTGCAAAGGTCCTCCTAGCCACGACTGCCACCTGCTCTTTGAGCAGGAGTCGTGAGTCCAGGAGGACCCCCAGATTACGCACCAGGTCTGTCTGGGTAGTGCAAGGCGTAACTGCTGCACAACATGAAGTCGTGCAAAGGTCCTCCTAGCCACGACTGCCACCTGCTCTTTGAGCAGGAGTCGTGAGTCCAGGAGGACCCCCAGATTACGCACCAGGTCTGTCTGGGTAGTGCAATCCCGTCACTGGTTGCTGTAGTATAGATTTAGTTTGGCAAGATTCTGTCTACAAGGTATAAGTAAATAAAGGACCTGTTCTTGACTGTACTGTTTCATCACTGTTCTTGGGCTGGGCCTGACATAATGGGAGCTAATGTCCAACAGATCAATAATTTTTCCACTTGTGACGCATCAGTCTCTGTCTTTAGAATATGGCAAGAAAAGGACTTTTCTGAACTGAACACAGAGTCTTCTCATTAAAAAATGCAGCTACCCATTCTTCCCAAATCAGGTTTGGATGACGGGTATAATAAGCACACAGGTTTTAGCTATTTTCAAGTAATCCAAGGAAGGACTAAGTCATAAGTTGAAAGCTATATCCTTGGATGACCTTGTACAGTATATTGTGGGGACCCATAAGTGACTTGCCTTGTTTTGGGAAAGTCTGGACAATGAGTGCCTCAAGACTCCCAAGTTATTTCTTTGAAAAGATTTCACCAACAATCATCAATGCACAAATAAAGGAGGCCCTCATTAGCTTCCTCACCTACACGGCTATGTGTCCGATAACAGAAGTCAAAATTATCCTGCAGATCGCCAAGTTGATCAATCGAACATTTCAGACCCTGTGGAATACAGCCAGACATCAAAGCTCAGACAAAGCAAGGAGTTTTGAACAAGTGGAACAACGAGTAGGACACAATGAACAGACAGGACCTCAGGATGAATCTCCATACTTCGATGCACAGCTGGAAACAGCAGTGGGGATGCAATCATGACCGAAAAGGCCAGTCACAAACAGCAGACGGTTCATTGCACTCCATTTGCAGCATCCCAGTACGAGTCTGTGCTGATAAAACTAGTTTTTTGACTTCCTGTTCTAAATCAAATGCCTGTTCCCATTTCCAGTTTTAGTAACCCCCAAAGAAAACCCTAATTGTTCAGCAGCTACTTTGGACCCCCTTCCTGGCATGTCTTTCAGGATGCAAATGAGAAGTTTCTGGGAGACAAAACGCTCCTGTGTTTACCTTTAAGCCCCTCACTCCTCTCCCCAGGCATGGGTTTATTAATAACTAATAAAAACCAAACAATAGGTATAAGTCCTCATAATATATAATTTGAATGGGTGCAAAATTTAATTTCACCTTCCTGTATCTACTACATAAATGAAGGGTGCATGTGGGAATAGGACCATAATACGTAAACATGAAATAGTTTGGTTCAAACATCACACACAGCCATGTTTTCTTTTAACTGTGGTTAGTTGAGAAAGCCAGTGGCTTAATTCATGTAATGCTAAGTCATAAGATGGTTGCTTGGGGATTATTACAGTGTATGAATCCAGCCAGTGTAGTTTGCAAACCTTGATTTAGGGTTTAGCATGGCATTAACTCAGTCACTGTTAATACAAACACAGTCCAAGCAGACCATGGCTTAGTATGAGGTGTGATCTAAACCGTGTTGTGGCTTCCATCAACCTGAAAAGACATATCTATCGACCTAGAATTTTGCAGGAAAGTTAAAAAGCACTCCCCGTCTTTACACTCTCACCTGAATTGTCTTGTGCATATCCATTAGCCGCTCCTCAATCTTGTGCTGATGGCTGGTAGCCACAGAGGATTCACGTGGGGACTCCACACTGGCCTGCAGAGAGAGGAGGAGAAAATACACAGGAATTACCAACACATTTGTATGGATCACTTCTGAAGAGTTGGGCTTTTTTTTTTTTTTAAGGTGTTGTTGTTCAAAGAGACACTCTGTATCTTGGGTGAATGCTGAAATCCTCAGATCTTTCTCTGTACCTTTACAGCACAGCTATTTTATCATTCATTTATTCCTATTTTTCCTTTTCCTACCACAGCACACAAGAATTTCTCTCTCTCTAGATTTGCCTTTCAGTTTCAGGGCCGAATTGCCCAGTGAGTGTTCACACAAAACAAACATAAAATGAGAAGCTTGGGATACATTTTGCTTTGGTGGAGATCTGGGAGAAGAGAATGTATTAAAATTACGCTGGGCGTCTGATGCTGCTGTAATAGAAAATATGGCATTAGTATTTGCAAATTACCCCTGCCCCAAGTCCACATTCCCAGGGAAAACAAACTCTCAGCACAACCACTGGAACATTTAGCCATAAGGAATGTTGATTAAAACCCAAGGAGATAAGAGATAGAACCCAGCAGAGTAACACATCAGTCTTATTCCAAGAACATAGCTGTTGACTAATTCAATAAGCTATTGGCTTTGTAATGCTACCCTCATTACCTCACCATTCCACTCTCACTGAACACATGACAAATCAAATATGCTGCTGTAAGCCAACTGCTAATTTTACTAAATTAATCATAGGTATACTGTGAGAGCCAGTTTAGACTAGGGGTGAAGGCACCAGGCTAGAAAGCAGGAAACCGTGAGTTCCAGTCCTGCCTTAGGCCCAAAGCCAGCGGGTAACCTTGGGCAAGTCCCTCTCTCTCAACCCACAACGTCAGGCTTGGGTGACAAGCCAGTTGGTCAATTCCTGTCACAATCAACGGATCAACATTTGGTTGATCTGAGAAGAAAAAAAGCGGACCCTGCTAGGAAGGAAAAAAAAATCATACATATACTGTAATTTGCATAAGTTCATATAAAGAGGGGGATGCATAACCCTTTTCAGGTTAGCGATGGCTGCCCCCAGCACTGTAACAAATCAATTTGTGCTTCAATGAAATTATGTGCTGGGTTCTAATTTAAAACAAACTCTTGGGGAAATTAGGAGAGGAATTTTTCTTACTCCAGGGATGGGATGAGCATTTAGCAAATCAGGGGTGATCAAGTATTGCTAGATGGAGAAGACTGTGTTTTGTGACTTTGTGACTGCACAAAGCAGGCACAAGAGGACCAAGCAAGTTTTTTTGTCTTTTTTTTTTACCTGAGAGGCAGAAAAGGCTTCAGACAGAATTGCTCGCTCCTGTCTCAGCAGACCATCAATGGCATTGGCTAGTTCCTGGGGACATTCTTGATACTTGCTCTGGAAGGCAGGATCGAAAAACGTAAGGCTGTACCCCAAGCAAGAATTTTTTTATCATCTGCTGCCAGTATCACTGAATCTTTTTGGAATCACCGTTCATAGGTCATCTGGATGGCTCCAGTGAAAACTGAGATAGTCTCACATTATTGCAAGGCCTTGTTCCTTGTTTCTAGGCAGACCTCCACTGTCACTCACTAGGTCCCTTTTCCTACCTATGGTATGAAATCTCACCAGGATATCCACCATGGCCATCATTTGAGCACAGGAAAGGCCCACCATGGCAACTGAGAGAACCCCACCCCAACACATGCACTCACCTTTTGTCTCTTTTGGTCAGCGAGATTAAGGTTTTAAACTACAAATGCGATTGCCACAGGAGCAGCACGCAATTACTCTGAAGCAAGGCTCCTTGAATGGATCTACATGATGCAGCCAAGTTCCTTGGTCACTCTACTCCTCTGTGGGCTCACGGTACTTGATCAGAGCTGCTCTGGGCAAAGGTGGGGTTGGCCAACTTTGATTGACTCCCAGCTATCACAAAGGTGTGGTTTTTCCTGCTAGTGTAAGGGTGGAGGCGGCTTTACCCCCACCCAAAAGTAAAGACTAGAGAAGCCCCATTTTTGCAGGGCTGCTCTAGGAATTTGTCTCTATTCTGGAAGCAGGAAGAGAAAATTAACCCTGTTAAGTTTTTTTCCTTGTTAACACAACATGTCTGACTGGGAATAATTAGCTTCACCCCAAACTCTGTGGCACTATTGATTATGGACATTATTTTATACTAATTTTAGCTTTCCGGTTTAAGTCCTTTGGAAAGAATAAATATAAGCTATTTCTTATTCCACTTAACTTGCTGAATTTAACAAACATTACAGAGTTTCAAATTCTGAAGCTGTAATGCGACTTCAATTCTGGGGATAGGGATTAAGTTTTGTCTTGGGAGAGTCTATTGAGGGATTTTCAAACTCTGTGGTGTTACAACTCCTTAAAATGATACATACATTTGTTGACACCCCCATCATGCATAAATCAAATGATTTCATTCGAGTTAGAGTTGGCCAAGAAATAAATATACCACTTTCTTTAATAACTGAATATTAATCTATCAAATAAGCAATTATAGTATCTTGCAACTTTTAAAATAAAGCCCTTTCACTGGAATAAACAAATTTAAAACGTTATTTTAAACATTTTTAATGGGAAGAATAAGCTTGCCTAGTTTTGAGTAATTCCTGAACTCTACCCTTTACCTTTGAGAAATCCATTCTCAATTCTCATTCCACACTCATTTTGGATTGAGATTTGGCCTTTAAAGCAGCACTAGTTGAAAACCCTGACTTGCATCAACAAGATGTTGCAGATGAAATTAGAACGCTCACAAGCTTCCTCACGTAATCCTTTGTGCTTATTTTGCACACTGATCCAAAATTCAGAGAAACATTGTCAGGAATTTTATTTTCAAAGAAGTCTCAAAAGAGACGTGGATGAATTGATGTCAGTTCAGTGTACTGAATTTCCAACTGCTATTGTTTCAAGCCAGAACTAAAACGGAACGAGTTTGGAAGGTTTCAGATTGGACAAGACTGTTCTAGAGCAGTAAGTATTCTCAAGCCTGGTCTGGCCTCTCCTGCCAGGGTAACTACATATCTATAGAAAGGGCTGAAAAGACATTTCTGTTGGGCTGCACTTAACCAGTGTCAGAATCTTTGCTCTGCTGTGTCCTTCAGTTCTTCCTCCTGTCTTGGTATCTTGAAAGGTGGCTCTCATCTCATTCTGACCCTTGCCCACTGTGCAGGCGCGCGCACACACACACACACACACACACACACACACGTTCTATGCATACCCCTAGATGGAGTTTGGAGCGGCGTAAGTTGTGCTTGAGTACCATGTTAGCGTTGTTTTCTTCCCCCAATTCCAGCCGTCCAAGCTGATCATCCAGTAAAGTCAGCATGGTATGGAAAAGATAGCAGGCTTGTGAGGAGTCCAATTCTACTGCTTGGCTCCTAAAAGCACACAACAGAGAAAATGCAAAGCAAGACTCAGAAGGCCTTGGCTGAGATAAGCAGAAAGGAATTGCTAAAAAAAGGCATCCCATACAGGTTTAGCAGGTGGGGAGGGAAGAAGGCTGTTGGTAGTCAGAAAATGTAACCATAGCAAACCACCTCCTATAGCTGTTGGGTCACAATCTGGGTAATGTAAGGCCCTAAGAAAAAGTTTGGTGTAGTGGTTAAGGCACTGGGCTAGAAACCGGGAGACTGTGAGTTCTAATCTTGTCTTAGGCATGAAGCCGGCTGGGTGACCTTGGGCCAGCCACTTTCTCTCAGCCCTAAGAAGGAAGCAAGGGCAAACCACTTCTGAAATCTTGTCACTTCTGCAGGGACTTGTCCAGGTAGTCACCAGGAGTCAAGATTGATTCAAATCCACAATTTGGGAGTATTTTACTGAAGTTCCTGAACTTCTAGCTAAGACAAGAAAGCCTGTAAAATGTATTGTAAAGAAATGCAAGGCCTGCTTACTTAAATGAAGCATATTATAAGAATTGCTTTTGCTCTGATAATGCCGAAGAGAATGTAACCTACCAGATCTTTAGATTAATAAATGTTCTTGGATCATCATATCCTCCTTTTTAAGGACTATCTTTCTGACAGAGCTTTTGGAGGAGCTTCTCAAATTACTACTGTGATTCTTATGCCTGAATAAACAAGTAGTTGTCACTACATCAAGTAGTGCAATGCAGTTAAACAAACCAGGGAAACACTTCCTTTACTGTTCTATTAGTGTACGCACTTAGTAATGTTATACAATCAGTAGGCCAACTCCACTGTCAACTTTTATTCAGGTAGGCCATCTTCAGAATACAAGGTGCTGATGGCTGTCCACTTGTACTATATTCAACATTCTATCAGGGTCTATAATTTCAGAGTTACCTGATAGCAATGTTTCAACCACATGATATATGTCGGAAAGACCTTCACCCATAGCTGGAAAAAAACCTCATTGTACAGAAAGAGATGTCGATAATAAAAACCAGTAGATCAGAGATGAGTTACTTCCATGGAAATGACTATGACAGAAATAGCATTACCAGTTCTGCTCCTCGATCCAATAGGCTAAATATTGACGCACTTCCATGGATATGCAGTCATCTGAGTAGAGGCGGTCTATCTGGTCCATGTGAGTCTTGTCCAGCGTTTGGATCTGCTGCCATTGGGACATGTTGGAAGCTGCTGCTGAACTCCCCACACCTAAGCAAGCAAGGACATCAGGAACCGTTTTCTAGTGCACCAAGCAACTGAAAAGGTAATACTTTTTGTGTCAGATATTCTCTCTCAGGGGAATTTCAACATTAAGTACAAAATACAAGATACATTTTGGGAAGGTTGTAATGTATGATGGCTTGTACATGGCATAAGCAAGAGAAAGGTGCAGAAATACAGTGGAGCTGCTAAACTAAAGCCACCTGATGACCCTGGAGAAAGAGGAAACAACTAACAGAAATGAGACTGTGGTCTTTCCTCTGGTGTGAAGGGAGGCAGTATAATAATGTAAATGCCATTGGGGTACATGGGGCTAATTTCTGTAGTTTGGGTGGGTTAGAGTCCCATCAGCAGACAAAAATGTAGAGATGCTGGGATACCCATAGTAAAGTCATCCCACGGTGTTATCAGATGTTACATTCCACCTCTACAGGTCAAAGCATGATTTACATTGCTTTATCAGTCCTGTGTAACCTTTCTGGAGGTATATAACCCATAACCTTCAGGACTCTCTTGCATTCTTTGGGGCCAGAGCTCACTCCACACTGTAGCTGTGTATGCCAATAAAAGATACTTGGCTCCATCTATCTCGAAATGCTTTGGTTCCTTCTTGAAGTGGGCATTTTTCCCACAACAATTTCTTACCAGATATTTAAAAGTGTGAGCTTGTGTGTTTGTGTGTGTGTGCGGGCGCAGTCGGTAGCCAGGTTCCAAGCTGAAAAAGAGAAACACCAACTGTACAGGTGCTACATACAGACTCCAAGTTCCTGTTTAATGGTGCCAATCAGAAGCCTGCCCAGGGACCAGAAGGAAGGGAGGGTGGTTCTCATTTTTAAAGCATGCCTAACTATGAAAGAGCATGTGATTTAAGCCACAATATTCCCTTTACATCAGCAGTTTTTTCACTTTGGTTTCAGGGAGCTCTTTTTGTCTTCTCTGTGGTTGAGAGTAAGAGGGCAAAAGAGACAGCCAAGAGAGCCATGTAAATCAAACGAAGGCCTCATGAATCGGGAAAACATGGGTTCTGCTCTGTTGCCATCATCTCCGTTAGCATAAGGTTGAAATAACTGAGTTTCACAGCTGAATGAAAGCAAAGGGGGATGTGAAACAAAGAGAGGAAAATGTCAGAATGAATCAAATGTTGCCAACAAAGCAGACAAATGTCTAGAGTTTTAGAAACCAGGAAGTCCAGTTGTTGACAAGGTAACTCAGCTCAATCCAAGAAGTGCTGTAAAGCAGAAAGGATTTGCTCAAGCAGAGGGGAGATCCTTGGTGCAGCTGAACTGCCCAGGACTTTATTAGATTTTACTAGGGAACTCCCATTTTTCCTTGGTTACTTAAGGGACTAATCCTATGCTTCCTAGGAATATTGCATAGGGGCTGTTGGAAGTTGCAGTCCATCTTCTTTGTGAATAGAAAGAAACATCTAACTAAAAACACTCTTTCTGGAATGCAACAGGCTTTCCATAGCTTCTAATGGCCAAAAAGTAAAAAAAAAAAAAAAACAACAACTAATCGGCTGGGACATGATAAAATCATTGAGAATCTACAGGATCCTTGTTCTGCTAATATGCCCCCAGACAGAGCTGATAACTATGCCAGGCTCAGAGCTGCAATAAATTATCGTGCTTTTTGGAGCAATAGGAATAGAACCTGTGCCCTTTCCACCTCATCAGAAAAGAGTTGGGAGTGGTGCACTATGGTGTCTTGGAGCCACAGGTTATCTTCTCCTGATTTAGTTTAACAATCCTTTAACAGAACAAACCTACGCCTATTTAGCCAGGTACAAATTCTCTTGAGTTCAGTGGAATTTACTAAGTGTGTGTCAAAAGGTTTTCAACCAGAACTTTCCCCATTTTGGAATTTTCTCATTTCTGCCAATCAGACCATTGTCTTTCTTTGCAGTCATGTATTTTGATGAGGGAAAGGGTCTGAACACTTAGGGAGGAGGGAGTCTTTTCTCAAGTACATTTTGTTGACTGATCTTTGATGCTTATTTAATTCGATTTTAATGTAGCCACTCACTCCAGAAGACAAATAAAACATTTGATAGCAACTGTATTTTTAATAGACTCTGAAATGCCTTATGTAATTGGGCTTCCCTGTTTTCCCGTTGATAAGAAACAAATCTTTAAATGGGCTTAGTTATATTATCATCAGGTCCATAGATTTTCTTTACAGTATACATTTTTTTTTACAGTATAAAAATATCTGATGTTGGGGCTTATTCTTCAGCTAAATCTTCTGCTTTCTGTGCTTGTAATGTTTTTTATTTGGTTTTTTACAATTTTGGAAAAGAAAGAAAAAAGTAAAGGAACACAGAAAGTGCACAAATATATCAAGTTTCATACTGAACATCAAAATATATATTTACTGTAAACCACTTCAAGATGATTGCATGGGAAGCAGTATTGAAACATATAGTATAACACAGAGCCCCTGTGGTGTAGTGGTGATGGTGTTGGGACGCACACACAGATGCAGGTTCTAGTCCTTCCTCGGACCCAGAAGCTCCCTGGGTGACTTTGGGCCAGTCATTCTCTCTCAGCCCAGCCAACTTTACAGGGTTTCTGCTGTGGAGCATATTAAGAGGATGGGATCATCTTAAGGTCCTATAGAAAATGAGGGATATAAATCTACTACATAAATAAATAAATGGGGGAACCAATTTGGTGCAGCGGTTAAAGGCATCAGGCTAGAAACTGGGAGGCTGTGAGTTCTAGTCCCGCCTTAGGCACAAAGCCAGCTTGGTGACTGTGGGCCAGTCCCTCCCTCTCAGTCCTAGGAACGAGGCAACGGCAAACCACTTCTGAGAAACCTTACCAAGAAAACTGCAGGGACGTCTCCAGGCAGTCACCAGGAGTCAAAACTGACTCGAACAGCCCACTGGGACCTGAACTGCAGATTATCCTATTTCCTTCTGGGCTCTAATGTATACTTTCTTAGCAGAACTGCTAAGTTTATAGACAAGGCAGTTCAGCTAAGAATCCATTATACTGAACAGATCAGGGTACCGTGTAAAGATGATGTATTTATCTGAACGTTGATTCTTTGTATTTAGCACATATGTATTTTATAATTGTATTTTCTTTTACCTATTTTATCTTGGAAATAGACCTTGTATTTTATCTTTCTTTTATTGTTTTTAGGTCATAAGAGTAATGAATAAACTAAAACTAAACTAAAACTGACTCAAAGGCACACACACCCCCAAATTAAATAAATAGGTGGAGGCCATACAGACTGACAGAGAACAAACAGGTTGGGAAGACTGGTGAATGGGATTGCAGCTCATCTTTTCTTTTTGAAAAATAAATCTGGAAGACAGGAAAAGTGTTTAATATTGGATTAACTGGCTCACAGTAGTCTGATGCAGCTTTCTGGCTCTGCTCAGTTTCTTGAAAATGAAACTGGACTTCACCACACCTCCAGCTCCCAGCTGAAACAAGCCTTTGCTCAACCTATGCCAGGAAGGAATATCAACCAAACTAATCTTAATCTTTTTGTCAGTTTCACACCCAAACTCTTGTCGGACCCCGCCAGCCAAGCAAGCCTTTAGCCCCGCCTGCCTTCCCTCCCACATCCACAGAGGCTCCACGCAGCAACCTACAACCGTGGTTAGAGCGCTTGGCCAAAAACAAGGCCCCATCTTTTCAGCATCCTACCCAGGAGCAGCTTTTTGACCCGAAGTAGAAGGGAGGGTGCTTTCACAGCGCGTGGTTTCCTGGCTCCAAACACCTGCTTTACTGTGTGCGCTGGCAAATGGCCAGGCAGAAGCACCCAGATGTCCTGGAACGGTGGACGGAGGATGGGGAAGAAGGGATGGGAATGTAACAAAACCTAAGCCATACTGGAGCGCCTTTCAGGCACAAGGAAGCAACCCAGTTCCATCAAAGAAGGAAGCCAGGTGGACCGTGGATGGGACATTCAGGGAGGAGCAATCGCCCCGACTTTGTAAGAAAAGACGAAATTCAGCAAATTTCCTCCCTTTAGCTTTTTTCTCAAGAATTTTGCAAAGGCCTTCGGGCTTAGCCAAACTAAACGAGATTAATCCCACATTCCTTCGCTCCCCAGGAGGTGTACGAGGGAGTAGCCAGCCTTTTGCTTTCCATGCCGGATTTTCGACCCCTTCTTTTTTCCCCCTTTACATTTGCTGCTCCCCCCTTCCTACACATTCACCGCCTAAGTTTAAAACCCCAGAGTGGCCCCAGAGGATGCGTCCCGTCCGACTCCTGTTACAGACGCTAAGGGTCCCCGTCGCCAGACCTCAGAGCCGTGCAGCTCCCCCCCCCCCTCCGCCGCGGGAGGAAAGCTCAGCCTTCCATCAAACCAGGGAAAAGATGGGGGGGGTTAGCCTCGGATTTGACAGCCCAGCGGGGGGGTAGTTTTTAGGGAAGAGCTTCAACTGCAAGCTTTGGAATAGCGTT